CTGAATACAGAACTCTCTCTCTCTCTCTCTCTCTCTCTCTCTCTCTCTCTCTCTCAGCAGCTCTCTCCTCTCTGATCCTCTGAACTGCCAACTCCACCATCTTTGTTATGGCCTTCTGGGCTGGGCTCTACCTGTGCCACAGCCTGTAACTTCCTTGGGGATCACTGTCTTTGGTTATCTAACGTCTACTGTCTTCAAAACTCTTATATATCTGTCTGCTTCTTAGCTGTTTCAGGTGGGAGGGTAAATTTTGCCCTCATTATTTCTGGTTGGCCATGAGCATGAGTCTAGCTTGATCTTTCAAAGACAAAAACCTGACTATATCTATTATTTAAAGCCCTTTAATGTGTCCCACTGCCCCGAGGATAGAATCTAGATTCCTTGACATGGTCTAAAAGAACCATCATAATCTGGCCCTACATACCTTTTCAAAAGCCTCATTACGAGCCTTTCTCTGTTCTGCCAAGCAGACCTTACTTCTGTTTCTGAATGCACCTGGCCTCTGCTGGCCTCTGGGCTGCACACATACCTTCACTCCGCCTGGATGCTTCTCTCACCCCACACCACCCACTGCTGCATGCTGTGTACAATCCATCTTCTAGATTAAAAGTAAAGCCGATCTCTGCAGAAAAATGGTCACCAGCATACTGGACTACTTCTTCCACATCAAACTAAATCAACGGTAGGGACTATAGTCTTTCTCACTGCCATGTCTTTGCCTTTGCTGGCTCCTCTGCCTCCGATACCCTCCCTACTTTGCCCAGTCACCCTTTGAGATTCCAGGCGTTATCATCTCCTCTTGAAAACCTTTTGTACACCTCTTCCCATCCTCTTGGCCACTTTCCTCCCCCATCTCAGTGAACTCTTTCTCCTCCATGCTTTCTTCATACCCTGCCTGTGCCTCCACCACAGCACTTATCAAATTCTATTTTAGGAATTTGTTTCTTTGTCTTTTTTTTTCCTAATTGGGTCTGTCTGGTTTTCTCTGTAACCCCAGACTCTCTCAGAGCACTGTGAATCTAGCTCTTCTTTGGGGTGCTGTTTTGGGGGATAACTAAGTGGCTGCAGGAGCACTTGCCCCTACTGATGTGAGCATCTAAGCAACGGGGGCACTTTGCAGGGGGTGTGCTGCCCTTGAGAAGGGGAGTGACATTAATCAAGTAGAACAAATCATATTGGATGCTACGGCCGATGCAATTAAGCCTTTGTCAAACCGCCTGCCTTTGGCTGGAGATGAGAACATTGTTGAAACGCCTCCCGACTGCCAAGGCTGGGGTCTGCTGAAATGGGCAATTACTGCAGCGAACAATCCATTACTTGTACTGTCAACCGTGTTTTCTCGCTCTCTAAATGCAGAATGAAGTGGAAAATGCTGTGGGAATTCAGCGGCATTTAATTTACTGATACGCCTCTGCAGGAGCCACTCTCTTACCTGGCCGTGACAGCGACGGCACGGGGACAGGCGTGAGGCTGGGATGCACAAGGGGAGCAGTTTAGCCATCTTGTGCCTCACTCTGTCTGTATGTAAAATTAAACCGATGCAAGAGAATGCTTGTCACACCATCGTGGTTACTATGGTGATGGACGACGGAGACACGACACAGTGTTGTGCTGCCCTGAGCCGATTTCTTTTGATACTGCTTGTTATTGCATAGAGGGAGAAATGACTGGCAGGGCTCCATTATCTTTTTGAATTGGGAAAGTTTCTAAGCAAGGCTTGGCATAGAAAGGCCATTATGCTGGCTATTTTGGGGGCAGATAATCCAAGGCTGCTGTGCCAGGGTGCTCACTCACCAGGAGGAACAGCTCTGCTTAGCCATTGGTATGGCATGCTGGGGGATGACTGGACGTGATGTTTATAATCAGAAGGAACCTGGCCTGGGCCATTCGCTGCCCCTGGTCTTGCCCAGTGCTCCAGGAGCCATAGAGGCCAGCATTTTGGCATGCTCTGAGCAGTCTGGAAGCTTTGCTGAAGGTGATTTAATTGCTGACTATCACAATAGCTGTACCCCAAACTGGAGGAGGGTACCAAGGAACACTAGCAGATCAATTTAAACCACGGCATACATGTGACTAATCAGACAAGGGGTCAGGGGCTGGAGGTGAGGGGTCTAGGACCAGACAATATTATCTGCTACAGAGAACTTGAGGTACAGAGACAAGTACTTCTTTCCCGGGGCTCCACAGTCTAGGGTTGCAAAAATACAGGTCATATTTTGAGTTGATAAAGTTTTTTAAAAAAAGATATATAGAAAAGACTAGTGGGCACTGTAGGATCTCTGGCTTGATAGAGTTGGTCACGGAGGCTCTACAGCCAGTGCGGTACTCAGACCACCTGTGAGACTTCCTTGGTGCCAACTCCACCTCTGCTGGACACCACCCAGTATGAGGTTGGACACCAGCCACCAAAAATCTATCAGAATTCCTCCCTGCATCCGTAGATGATGCTGAGCACCAGGCACCTAAACTCTCTCACTCACTGAAGATACTGGACACCAGGCACCGAAAGTCCACCCTGGCTGCTCCTGAAAAATTAGGTGGTTTTTCTTTACCCCCAGAAGGGATCCACATGGCACCCCATGTCTATTCTTCCGAATGGAAACACCTGCAGAAGCATCAACTCCCAGAGGAGAGTGATGTGGCTCTTCAGGGTAAGCTGCAGGTGCAGGGCTGCCTTCTACCATGGTGGCTGAGCCCATAGGGAGGGAGGTGGTCTCAAATCAGCCAGGAGCCCAAGGCAACCCACTACACTTCTTGAAACCACATGGCTAAACCTGGTCCCTCATCTTTCACCATAAACCAATTCCCTTCTGGAATCTTCCAGGCCAGAATATGCTATTACTACATGGACTGGGCTTGGGTCCTCAGATCACCTTGAGCACCTCCACACATAGTCGTAGTCACTCTGTCTCTGGGATGATTCATCACCCTGTGCCCCTTGCCTGGTCAGGCTCCTTGCCACCTCTCACTCTCTCCAGCTGGCTCCTGACTCAGGCCAGACTGCCCCATGCTCTTCTCTCCCCTGTGCCCTGGAGGTCTGTGATAGTCTTATCCCCCTGGCTTAAAATCCCTCAGAGGGTCCTCACTGCCTTTAAGGGAAATTGCAACCCTTGAGAATCTTTGGTAACAATTCCTATTTACTTTTTAAACTTCTCATACATTGAATATTATTATTCTCTAACGGAATAAAAATAGCCACCATGGGCTGAGTACATACTAGGTGCCATGCTAGGTAGCCCTCACACAAACCTCCTGGGAGGTGAAGGCTGCTTATACACCTATTTCACAGAAGGGGGAAACTGAGATCGCAGCAATAACAGCAACCCTGGCACTTGAGCATAGGTCTGTCTGTCTGCTGGCCAAACTGAGGCCTTCAGCTAGGCCTCTGTTTCAGTGAGGGTCTGTCCCAAGATCTCCACTGGATGCCTCGAACCACAGATAGTACCAAACCATCTAGAAACCTTTTCTTCCTGTTCATACCTATTTATGATAAAGTTTAATTTACAAATTTGGCATAGTTTCAAACAACAGTAAATGATAATAGAACAGTCATAATAATATACTATTATAAAATAGTTTTGTGAATGTGGTCTCTCACCCTCTGTCAAAAAATCCTGATTGAAATGCCTTTGCCCTTTTTTGTTGACGGTGGGTACCTGAAACCACTGGGAGCCACACTGTGGGTAAGGAAAGTCTTCTTCTGAGGAGCCTTCTCTACCATTTCCTTCCCCTAAGGCCCCACACATCCCCTCCCTCCCCGGTGCTCCCTGCTTCCCTGATACAAAAGACTGAGAGCAGGGAGGACATCCTGTCAGTTGGCAGGAACACTGACTGTAGTGGACTGAACTGCAAAGCTCTCAAAGCAGTCCACGTTAAATTCAGGATCCTGCAAGCGCTCACTAGAATGCTGCTTTTCCCATGTAAGCCTGAATCGCATCAGCGTGCGCGTGTGCAGGCAGGCTACCTTCTTCAGTTTCAGAAGGACCAATGGAACGGGCAAGAGGACAATGAGCTTTGAATACTCCCACCCCCTTGTCCCATCAGCTGTGACTCAGGAGAAAATGTCACCTCTGCTATGTGAGGCTCTGCCTTGACTTCTCACTCAGGACACTGCCTTCTGGAGTGCTCTGAATAGGTTCGGTCCTGGCTGACTAGTCTCCAAAGTACTGCAATTTACTGCTAGAAAGAACTTTCATTTTTTTGCCCTCTGAGTTCCACTTCTGAGATGGTAGAGATGGGGTGAGAAGAGAAATTCTGGGTTACACACCCTGTCCTGGGTTACTTTCACCTTTAGGACAGTGTCACTGGTTTTGGAAGGTCACGGGGTGTGGGCTCCCGGGAGGCGTTCTTTAAGTCAAGCTTTGATCGTTCTTACTAGCCCGATGCTAAGCTTCTAAGAAATATGTGCTTGCCTTCTTGATGCCTTCAAGGGCCGCTCCATGATTTCTTTTCATTGTATACTGTCCTGGGGCCAAACTGGTTTTTCCTAAAGTTCTGTCAGCCTACTGACTGTCAACGCTGCCATAAAGGTGATGAGCCAAGGACCACCATCCCTTCCAGCCTCAAAAAATTTCAGAAGGGACCCCATGACCTGTGCCTATCACCAGCCCTGTCCTGTGAGCCGCTGCCACGCTGAGGAACGCTGAAGGGTCTAGCAACTGGGGACCTCCGTGACCAACCCATAACTGCCTCGCTGGGGAGGCGTCACCCATGTTGATCTTATTAGTCCCTACAGTCCTCTTGCCATAGCAAAAATGTGTAAATATTTGTAAATTCTTTGATCCATTTCAGCTGCCAGGATGGGGTAACACGATAAGTGTACTTCCTGGAGATCAGCAGACTTCAAGATTGTGACGAGAAATAATAACCCCACCCCCCGACACACACACACTGTTCTTTACCCGAGACCTGGGCCAAAATGTGGTCTCATGCTTTGTGTTCCAGAAAGCTCTCCTGTCAATTTCCCAGCAAGGTGAGAGCCTGGGAGTCTGTGTCCATACCTGTTGGGATGGTGGCCCGGGCCTGGCTGGCAGCCGGCTGAGCTGCATGCCGCAGACAGCTGCCTGTCGGTGGGGAGCCTGCCAGGTGCTGTGGTGTGGTGAGGGACAGGGCCGGCCTGGTGGCAGTGGCTGGGCTGCTCAGACTTCCACCACCAGGATGCATGGTGGTGGTCATCCCTTTGGCCAATGGAGATCCTCCAAGCACATTATTTCGGGGTGGCCCAGCCCCTCCTCCAGGAACCCTAAAGAAACAAGCAGAATCAAGTCAGTGAGAAGGCTCAGATGAAATCAAGCCTTTGCCAGTGGCCCTTACTTACAGGTTCTAAAAGAAGGGGAAGTGCTCCAGGAAAGTCCTAATTCAATGGCAGGACATTGCTTTAGTTGAAGGATGCCCAGAGGTCAGATTTAACAAGAGCACCCTTTATAACATCTCCATGGAGCCAGCTCCCAAGGTGAATACTCAATAAATCGCAAAAGAACCCTAAGGAACAGAGGAATGATCCAGATCACATATTTAGCACCAGAGCGACTGCCTTGGTTCCTTCTAACAAACAGCTGTGTGTCTCCAAACACAACCAGAAAAAGTGGATGACTAAGTCGCATCTCACAAAGCTGTGACACATCTGGCACGTGGTGAGGACATGATGCCAGCTTCTCTGGGCATGGCACCATCATGTTTCTGCTGGCTGATGGGAAAGGGCACAGGCAACATGATTTCTTCTGAGGATGTCAGGGAACTTGCAGCTTCATACCAAAAATAGATGTCCTTTCACCCGGCAGCTTCCAGTTGAAACCACTTCACATAAGAGGAGCAGGGTGACTTTGGAAACAAGGCTTTGAACCCTTTTTCTCTGCATGTATTTACTTTCTGTTCGTGCCCTGGCTCTGGGAGTGTGGGATACCGCAGAATTTGGGGGCTTAAAACGTTCTCTGGATTTTGTTTCATGGGAACCAGAAAGTCTTCAGTTTGCCCAGAAGCTGGGTGAACTTGTGTTCCTGTTCCTTCAGGGTCTCTGTCTCACTTCTGAGACAGCAGAAGCCACAGTGGAAGAAGACAGGTTCTGCCAAGCCCTCTACCTCTCCTGGGTCCTGGCTCATCTCCCCATGGCATGGTATTACCAGGCTGGGACCTTCACTGGAGGAGAGCCCCCACAGCACTCAGGAAGTGCTTCTGCAGAGCAGCTGTAGGAGAAGAGCCTCCCAGAAAAGGTGTCACCTGGAAAGGAGCCACAGGGCAGTGTGATCCTTCCTCAGCCTCAGAGCTACTTTGAAACTCACCTCTGCCTTGCAGCCCTGACAGCCAGTGCAACCCATGAGTTTATAAATCACTTATTTCACATTTAGTCTTTAAAAACAAAATAGCCTGGGCTTTCATACTGGCAAGGTCATGTCACAGGGGTGAAGGTGGCTAATGCAAACACATCTTTAGTGGCAAGGTAAACCCCTCCCTCTGCTCTGGCAGCGGGATGGCAATGCATCCTCCAGCTCTTATCTCCTTAGTGCAGAGTCTCATGCACCCTGGGGTCCCCACCTTTTTGAATGAACTCTGAATCTCCTCCACAGTTGCAAAGCTGCAAATCACTTGTAAATGTCAGAGTCTCAAGCCCAGAGCACTTTAGGATGGCTGGGGCAGGTGCTGAAGAGTAGATCCTGGTCTGCGTGCATAGAGGGCTGGGCCTTCACCTGTCTCTCTGACCTCTGTCCTGATAAGGTATCAAGTTTCTGCTGAGTATTTATTTATTTGTTTGTTTGTTTATTTATTTTAGTTGTAGGTGGACACAATATATTTATTTTACATTTATCTGGTGCTGAGGATCAAACCCAGTGCCTCATGCATGCTGGGTGAGCACTCTCCCACTGAGCCACAACCCCAGCTCTTGCTGAGTGGTTTTGACAATTTTTCTAAAGAACAGTGAGGATCAGAGAAGGTATAATTCCTGGGAGCAGAGTCACAGAATCAAGAGGCAAGCTTTTCTGCTCTGTGGTGAGGTATGGATCCCACAGGGGAAGTCTGAGCCTGTGATATAATGACTGAGGGGCTCCTGATGATTCCTTCTCTGAGAGACAGGAGAAGACTCCAGGGAGTGACCTCTTATTATCACAGTTACCAGGTTTAGAGCTGGAGGGACTTCTGTTTAATGATGTCCATGGCTCTGGGCTGCTTTGTACCTGGATAAAGATCAAGAAAGTTCAAGGGAAGTGAGTAACTGATGATTTTGCCCAAGCTAGAGTTGAGCAAGGTGGCTCAGGTCACCCAAATGGTTCCAGTTTCATTAACCAGAGGATGTCCCCATAACAAAGTGCCTGGCACTGTGGGAAGACAGTCCTTGGAATAAGTTTTTTATCAGAGCTACCAGTTTTCACTTATTTACTTAATGTACATTTATTGAGCACCTAGTATATGCAAAGAGTATACAAGGAGCTTATAATGCACAGATAGAGATGGTTGCTATGCCTAGGGACTGAAGGCTCTGCACAACTTTGATGACCCACAATGAGCAGTACTCACAGACAGGTCCATTAGGACGATGTGGTAGGTAGAGCCATCCATTCTGACCATGTGACTTGGGGAAGAGGAGGTTTTCCTTAGCAACTGGACTTAGGACTGTGCTCCTGAAGGACAGATCAGGTTTATCTGGGTAGTGGGAAGAGTTGGGAAGGCATTCCAGATTTGAGGCGGTGTATGGAGGCAACCCTGGCTGCCAGCGCCCACTCCCTCCCCACCTGAGGAATTCAGACAGAGGACTATGTCTGCATTGTGTAAGGGCCATGTATGGAAGAGCAAATAAGGCCAAGATGCTTGGGGGAACCTCAACACTGATGGGGAGGGGTAGACAATGAGGGCCCAGGTACTGATGACTTGCATCACACCCACTGGTGGTCCCTCAAAGCACTCGAGGCTTCAACCCTAAGTGCAGCTGCAGGATGAGCACGCATGGGAAGGCTATAATGGAAACTGCAGACTAGATTTCCCTGTTGAAGAGAAGCCCTGGCTGCAAGCACAGAGCAAGCTGCCCGAACCCATAAGGAAGCCCCAAGGAGTCCATGGGGAGCTTACACCCTAAGCAGCCATCCCTCCTCTTAGAAGGATGCACTTAGGGCAGAGGGCTTTTCTGAAGTCCCTCTTCAGTATGCTGCTCATTCTTTTCCCTGCGAGGGTCACCTGAGTGGAGCACTTCTTGCTGCTCACCTTCCTTTCCCTGCAAACCTTCGGGGCCTTGGGATGCACTGTCTTCCACAGGTCTCCACTGGGCACCAGGATCCCTACTAACCTAAGCCACTAGAGGCAACTCTGCATGTGTGTCCCCTTGGCCTTCTGAAGCCACTCTGACAGGGGTGACTCAGTCTGGCAATCAATGCCAGGGATAGGTACAATCATTTTTTTTTCCTGTAGTCCTCTCCTATAGACTGTCAAAACCCAAGGGCTATGTCTTCAATTTCTTTGCCCATCCTGCAGCGTCCACATAGGGCTATGTCGCCGCGGGGCACAGAACCAACTGGAATAGAACTGAGCCGCAAACCTCAGCTCAGTGGAAAATTCTCAGACAACTCGGGATTACCTCTATAGTGAATTTTTAAAGTGACTTTTTCTATTTTATAAAAGTTGAATAACACAGAATTTGTAAAACACTGGAAGGCACAAGGAAGAAAAAATTTTAAATCACCCACAATTCTTCCACTCAATAACATTTGTTACTTTGGGGAACACATCACTCTGCCTTTTCATAAATGTGTATGTGTATTCTGTATGATAGATCCCATGAGTGATGACTCGCCCCACACATGCACTGCATATATGTGCACACATGATACTCAGTGTTATACAAGTGCACACATACACATATACGCATCACACTGACCATTCATGCAGACCCTGTACACATGCGTGTGCACACACTGTACTTACAGCACATGCACAGGCACAGGCATACACAGGTAACATGAACACCCACTGTATACACACATGCATTTGCTAAACACATGCACTACACACATTGCACACATATGGATGCACACTAATGTGGTACACACAGTGCACATAAACGTGTACACTGGAACACACACTACTCATACTATACACATCATTACACACACAGCGCATACACGTGACACACTAATGTACACAAGCTGTACTCACTGTATATACAATGCCTGCACACAGGGTCCTCACACACAAATACACACACACACACACACACACACGCGACCTTGCACTTGGAGAGTTTCCTCTCCCTGCTTAGTTGCTTTTGTGCCCTTGACTCCAGCTCCTCCTTCTCCCTTTTAGGTCCCCCTGGTGGCCAGGGTCCACTGGAAAGCCAAGCAAACCCAGCTCAGATGCTGGAGCTGCAAGAACAGCTGAGTGCCCTCACTGCCTCTAGACTGTTTTCAGGGGGACCCAGGCCACAGTGTGGTCCCCAGCAGTTGCCACAGCATTAGGAGAATGTGAACCTTGCACCCTTCTTGCCCAGGCTGCTGGACCCTCACCTGGAGACTGGTGTCACATAGTTTCCAGGAAACACCCCAGAGACCCCAGTCCTCAGTGACGCCCCCTTGAACCAGCCGTCCTGGCACTTCTCAAGCACCCGGTACATCTCCCCCTTGCGCAGCTCCAACTCGTCATTCTTCTGGGGCTTATAGGCATAGAGCGCCAGATACCTGGACAGAAGACAAGGACAAGGGTCAGCGGATGCCTTTCCAGGGTGTGGTGGATGGCAGCTGGTCACAGGCACATGAAGTTCATCTTCAGATGGATCCAACCTGAGAGGAGCTGATGCCTGTGGGACTCTACAGTTGACAATGGGCTCACACCACTCACCGAGTCACTCCTCCCCACGAACCTGAGAGGCAGGCAGGAGGAGGCCAGGTGTGCTCCTCGTGCCTTGAGTCCCAGAGAGCCACAGGGCTGCCCTGGCTGGCTGAAGAAGTAGGCCCAGGAGCTGTGTGTGGGAAGGGGAAGGGGGGGATCCCTTCATTGTGCCCACTGAGGCAAAGTGACTCCAAGGCGATGAAGGACACCTCAGAACTGGATTCTGAGGCCCTCTCTCTGGACTCCACAATCTTCTTCTATTCTTTATGTTTAGCTTAGAGTCTGATGCTCCGAGTAAGAAAACCTTAGGGAAACCAAGTATGAGCTAAGTTAGCTTCAGGCCTGGCTTACCTGCCTGGCTTATCCAATCAACCTGAGCTGGAAGAGAGCTCAGTCCTTTTAAAAACAAGGGAGGTCTAGTTAGGGAATTCTTGGTCACATATTTCCTTGCAATATTTGTACCATGACTGATTTTTTTTTTTTTTGGCTTACGCTTTTCTTTTAAATCTGATTTGCAGATGAGGCTGAACAGACTTAGTGGTTAAAATTTTGACCTGAAGTTTGGAAGCTGTGCCTACAAGTTAGCCATGGCCTTAGGGAAAACCGGTTTTGTGACATCCCGAAGATAATTTGATACAACCTCACAGGTGCTTGGAAGGAATACATAAACTTGCAAAAGTACTCCGCTTCTTCAGGTTTGGGGGAATCGCTGGTTTTGGACTGATGGAGCAAACTGTGTCAGATAATTATTTGCCTTATAATTATCTTATAAGATTCACCTAGGAAAGTGGGAGGGGGGCCTCAGTTCAGTAGGAGATGAAAAATAAATTTCAGGGCTGGGGATATAGCTCAGTTGGTAGAGTGCTTGCCTTGCATGCACAAGGCCATGGGTTCAATCCCCGGCACCATCAAAATATATATATATATTTTTAAAATAAGGGTCCTTTTCTGGATCTTGCTCCAAGACGGTCTGCTTGGTGGGCATGTGACTGTGGGTTCCTGGTGGCTTGTGCAGGAGAAGGGCTCTGAAACTGAGGGGCTCACAGACACCCTGCAGCACTCTCTGGCTCGGGGCGGTGCAGTCATAGGAGGTGAAAACAGAGATGAGGCACAGCTTACTAGGGTTCAAGAAGGAGGCCCTGAGGGATGAAGAGCTCCATCAAGACTAAAGACTTCTTTGTCTTAAAAAACCAGTCTGCCACCCCTTTCCAACATCTGAATCCTACACACAAAGACCTCTGCTTCCACTCGGTGAGATCGCTTACTTCCTTGGTTTATAGTCCCTTCCCTTAGGGACACTCCTTGGGATGGGACACGGTTTGCATGTTCTTCTTTCCTGGTTCAAAAAGATGAACACTGACAATTAGGAACGCTCTGGGCTTCCTGAGGATAAACAGAGCCATCGGGAGAGGACCCCTCCCTCCTGCTGGTGGGTCGGTCTATAGATTCCCATTGTCAGTGCTATGCCCAGGTGACAGATAGAGAATCTAGGCCGTCATCATACTCTCTCGTGGCCTCGGAGGAAATACCACAGACAGAAAAGTCACGTGAGGTCTGAATTGACACAGCCAAACCCGTGCGCAGCAGGCACACTGTAGCGGGGAGCCTCAGATGGGGGCCAGGGCGTGGGTGAATCCACAGAGCTGGGGCTGAGGTAGAGGGAGGAGGAAGGGAGCCGAGATGGCCGGGATCAGGGGAACCGATAAAAATGATACACGATGTTGTGTGCCTGTTCTCAAGGAAATATAATTGAAGCATAAATCCTGCTTAGGTTTGTCTCCTTCGTCCTTCTGTGATGTCAGAACAATCTGACTGTGACTATGAGCAGGCCGCCAAGCCAGGTGATGGCTTCTGAGGCATGTATGGGTCAAAGTGTGACTCAGACCTCACCAAGTAACTATGTGTCTGTCTGTGGTCATGGGGGGAGGGACCCCAAGCTGACTTTGCTCAGAAAGCGGCCTGGGGGTTCCATCGGCTGCCTGCGGGGATCAGGACCCAGAACACCCTCCACAACCTGTTACCCAAGGCTTGGGACCCACTTCTATTCTTCTCCCTCCTAGTGCTGTGCAGGACCCAGTGGACACAGAGCTGAGCGGGGGCCTGGGGCCTGTCACCTGCCAGAGACTAGGATCCGTGAGCTCCAGGCTGCAGCCAAGTCCCTTTCTCTCTGAGCTGCCGCTGGCTGTTGGACACATCTACGGGAAACATGGGCCACCAGGGCCACACTCCCTGTCCTGGAGCAGTACTCTGCAGGTGTCCCATCTGGCTACATACCTATGTCATTGTGCAGCATCCTGCACGTGTGGCCTCGGATCACCGAACATGTAAGGGAACAAGTGTCTCAGGGATCATCCCAGCTCACAGAATACACCCACAGGGCAGCAGCTCCTGCCAGGACCAGGAGCTCTGCTTTATGAAGAACGCTCTTCCAAATGGCCCTTTCCGCATGCAGAGGCTCCAAGGCAGGGCAACCTCTTGAACCAGAGTATGAGGGGTTTCTCCCTTCCTCATAGCCAGGCACAGTGGCGTGTTCCTGTGATCCCAGAGACTCAGAAGGCTGAGTAGGAGGAATGCAAGTTCAAAGCCAGGCTCAACAACTTAGCGAGGCCCTAAGCAACTTAGCAAGACCCTGTTTGTCTCAAAATAAAAAGGGCTGGCTGGGGATGTGGCTCAGTGGTTAAGCAGCCTTGGGTTCAGTCCCTGGCACCAAAAATAAATAAGTAAAATAAATTATTTCTTCCTCTCTCATATTCCAAACCAGCACACCTGTAGGGGTCTGAGGGATTCTGAGCAGCTGTGTTCTCTTGGGACAGAGACCTCTTCCTAGCAGGATCCCAGCATGGGCAGCCACTTGGTGACCTTGGTCCTATCTACAAAGGTCCCAGCTCAAAAGGGCCTAGAGGAAGAGAACCAGCAAATCCTGCTTGGGCAAGCATTACTCCAAAGTGTTTCCTGAAAACATGGAACAGGCTCCTGCCTCAGGACCTTTGCAGGTCTCCTGCAGGTCTCCTCTCTTGCCCCCTTAGTGTATGCTCTATGAGAGTGGGATTTCTATCTGATGGTTCAATGCTCTCTCTTCACTCTCAGGCACAAGGTAGATTCTCAATAAATATTTGTTGAGAGAAAAATAAATCAGGGGCCTAGGCTTTGCAACTAAGTGCAAGAGTGCTGTGTGTGTGCATGTGTGCATGTGCATGTGTGTGTGTGTGTGTGTGTGTGTGTGTGGTATTGGTGATGGATATGTGCATATATGTGTGAGTGCAGAGCTATAAACAAGGAGACTTGCTCTGAATCTTTTTGTTGTTTCCTACAGCAGGAGGGAGCCCCCTCCAGTCATCTGCCAAGTATGGAACTGCCCAGAAAGAGGGCAGGGCCTAGCAGCCCGAGAGGCTGGGAAGGCACCTGCCCACACCTGGGCTCAGTGAGCTGTATCCATTAGCATCCAACTTCCTCAGCTGGGAGTTCACACTCCAGATTTCAAACAGCAAGTGTTGGCAGCTGTGATAAATACTCCACAAACCATTTGAACTGTTTGACAGTCACGTTTGTGATCCTGGAGGAACAGCCATCAAATAACTGAAGGTTAATTACCATTTGGGAACGAAATGATGATCTTTTCCTCAGTATTTTAGGATCCCTATGTCATTAATGGGACAAGGACTTTGTGATTACATTTCAGCAATAGAAGGGGAGTTTCCACTCTTCCCCATCAAAATAAAAATGAAAATTCTTTATGTCGGAAGCTACAAGTCACGTTCATACCTTTAAACTGGAGAAGGTGTCAAGCGTGGGCAGCCACCTGCTGACCTTGGTCCTGTCTATAAAGGTTCCAGCTCAAAAGGGAACCTTCTTCAAACTTCCATTTTTATTTTAAATGAACACCAGACATGGTTCTTAATGAAACAGTAAAGGAAGGGAAATGGAAAATAAAGATGAACTTGACTCGGCATCCACCCACCACCAGATTTGTCCACCATGTACCAAATATGTTGGGCACACCTCCACGGAGCGGGGACGCCAGCTGTATGCACCCTTCCCTTACTTCCGAATCTGCTGAGAGATGCATCCTTTGCGTTTGCATAAAGATAGGCTGGGATGTTGTGCTGAATTAAGCCTCTTTGCACAGGACGACCAGCTTCTTAGCAGTAGGAAGCTGGGGTGTCTATGAGATGCTCAGTGATGCAGACAGCCCTGGGGTGCTAATGCCCACAGGGAGCCAAGTCCTTTCCAGGTGCCATCGCCCTGAGGGCTGATATGCCCCTTTCTTCTCAAAGCACTGTCACCAGATAACTTTCCCCGAGGCCTTATTTAAAAGGTGTCAGCCACACAGAGCTGCGTGCCCACCACAGGGCCACCAAGTGAGGCAGGGCAAGCGGAGAAGGACAGGCCCTGACGTCTGCCATGTGCTAGTCACATGGTCTCATCCAAGGTCCACATGGACCCTGAGGTTTCACAGTTGAGGAAACTGAGGCTTGGAAACATGGAGAACCTGTCCATGTTCCCACAGATTCCCAGGCAGGGCCAGGTCTGCCGCTCAGATGCTGTCGGCATAGCCCAGGGACATGGCTGGCTGTGCCCTCCCTCTGAGAACAGGCTGCCACACAGAGAGGTCTGCACCAATCTGCACCAGGGCACTAATGTCCTTGGTCTTTTTGTCTTTATGTTAAATCATGTCTGTCCGATGAGTAATCCTTTTGGTCTCACAATTCCAATTCAGCCTCTAGGTGTACGTTGCTGGGGAAACTAGAATGTAAATAAGCCTGACTTCACCTTAAAAAAATCTCTCCTCCTCCTCCATTTTTCCCCCTTTGGGTGCCTCAGTGGTGAAACCAAAAGCAGATGGATCTGC